TCACTCAAAGAACTGCAAGAGTAAGATTTTCCTGAGGAGAATTCCTAGAAACAGATCAAAATTCTGCCACTGAAGGGAACACAGAAAGCACAGACAGAAGTGAGTTGTACCTCTTTGGCATAGCTGGGAAGGCACTGCCCAGAAAACAGGGTCTAGGCAGTAAAACCTTTGCTTTAATCCCACACAGGCATCCTCCAGCCAATGGGGACAAACAGCTAGGGATGAAGTAGACTGACGCTCCTCAGTGTAGTTGTGATGACCGACTGCTCAGAATCCCATTTGTACATCCTTAAAGACCAACGGATTGCTCAACAGTCTTTTTGTGCATTAGAAACTTTCTTAGATATTAAGCTAAAAATCTCATTCTCCACAGAGAATTCCTGCACAGTGAACAGCAGCTTCTGTGGAAGCCAAAACCTGAAGTGGGGACAGTCATGGCATAGCTGTAATTATAGCTATGGAGTAGGAAACCAGCATCGACAATAGCAAGACCCTAGACATGGTGCAACTTCAGCCAGAGATGCTTAATTCTCTATAGACTATGCATACAAGCTACTACAAGCCCAGAAATGCCAATTTCAGCTATTCAGATGGAAACTACAGCAGGACAAAGTAGTCCAACAGTTACCAATTTAGTTAGAGAATTGCGAATTTTGAGTTTGTTTTGTTTTTTAAACCAGTAAGATCTAGCATTTCAGGTTTCTGGTTTTGTTTGCTTTTCCCACCCCCCCCTCTAAACTGCTGAAGCGTACATTAGTTGCAGAGTCAAAGAGATAAGGGAGCACAATGTTAGAAGAATTCTCCAGAAAACCTGATTCATCTATTTGCTCAAAAGCCAGAAGGATTCAGTGAGACAGAAGCCTAGCCACAGATCTTCAAGTGGGTCTACAGTAGCCTAGTTTATGGGAAGAGTCATTTTACTTGCCTGTAGATGTTGAAGGATATCCAGAAGGGAACAGTAATCCACATACCAAAGATAGTGAAGAACCAAAGCTGAGTAATCTTTCACATAGTCTTTGGAGCATCATGTGCCATTCGTTCATCATGAACAAGAGGAGCAGTTGTGCCCATTAAAAACACTCAGATTCTGAGCATTCTTGAAGCTACAAGGGGTTCTTGCAACCTGTGGCTGGATGGACATGGAGGTACAGGTCAGAAGAGTGAAAGACACTGGGCCAGAGTCTCTAGCAGGACTTGAAGCCAAACTCTGGCCCGTACCAGATGCATTATTAAGATCAGTGTGGAAACCTGAGGCTACCTGAAGGAAAAGGAAGGCTCCTAAACATAAAGGACCTATCATCCAAGATGAACCATCTACAGACACAAGACAGCCCCACCTGAGGCAAGTGAATCCAGAGCCCTGGCACCAAAGAAGGAAAAAGCAGCATGACTGGGAGAGGTGACAGTTGCAGAACTAGCAGGATAAGGCTTCTGTGTGACCTACATACTGATGGTGCAACAGGCGGTACCAGTGGAAATGCTAGCAGAGGCAACCGGGATTCTTGGAGAACAAGCAGCTCATTGGCAGACGGGATAGAACACACAATGCTGAGTAAATCTCTTTCAAAGTCCAGAGCAGATGACCAAAAAGGTGCTTCTGAGTCAGGGAGCTCTTCTGGAAGTTCACTTCTTACAGGCAAATACAACCTACAGATGATGAGGCCTCTTTTTTTTTGTTTGTTTGTTTTAAAAACCACCTCCAGCTCCATTCAAGTGAGAATGAATTCCACAGAGCTGATACCAAACCTTGACCAAACTTCAAGGGAAACTGCCAAGATGACTACATGAAGGGAACAGCATTCTTCAGACACCCCAGGAATAAGTCTCCTTTTCAGGATGGCTGATAACCCACAACTCCACAGCAATCCAGAGAGCAAGAAGGCACTTCATCTTGCCAAGGCCATCCAAGAGGAACTGAGGACTACACAATGCACTTCAGCAGGGAATAGCAGCTAAAACGAGGAGGTACTGATAGAGCAAGATGTATATGATCTTGATTGCTTACAGTGCACAAGTATCCATGCTTGTCCATATTCTGAATATGTGCAGGCACTCGAAGAATATATTTTTATGTACAACATAAACTTACACAGGCTTAGGTAACCTGCAGCATCAGTTTTTCTAAATTACATGCTATGTGTACAAGCACATGCAGTTCTGCATTGACTGAAATGTACCATTTCACTGTAACATAGGGCTTACAGCCATCTTAATTAAGCACAGTTCAGAAGGACACCCAATTTTAGGTAACTAATGACTGTTGACTGGTTCTTCGACACTCTCTACTCAACCCATACTAACATTAAAAAAAAATATTGCTATAATTTGTTTCTAACCCATTTTCTTAAGGTAACAATGTACATGAGGTATGTGCAGGGCTCCTCCTTCCCCTGCAGCTAGGCGTTAAGGAACCCACATGCATGAAAGTTGTTATGAATGAAAACCACAGGAAACCAAACTCCAGTGACACTTTCACTGAACCGCTGTTATTTTTATCAGTCCTATATGGCTAGAAAATGTACATGCTACTTCCTTCATAAACGTCATATACACATTTCATTAATTTAACCCACTAAATTATACTCATTATGAAAAATGAGCAGCAGGTTTAAAGCCTCCAAATTCTGAAAACTCTTCGTATTTACTCAAACTGTAAAAACGAGCTATGCAAAAAATGGAAGTAAAGACTGGAGACACATGCTTGCTTATCACAACAGTCAGATATAACCAGATGAATGCTTAGTAACTACACTTCTGTTTCCATACCTCAAGAAAAATGGAGACCTACACAAGTGGAGCAGTAGTTCTCAATATTGTCAGTACCAAACGTTCCAAACATATCACAGCTGAATTTTTAAAGGCTTAATTATAAGAGCAATTTAAAAATCTCTTGAAAGCCTTTATTAATCATAAAGGAAGAAAAAGGGCCTAACTCTAACTTATTAAAAATATGTAGAACTGTGGCCTTCCTGGCTTTTTCCAAAACACCTACCAAAATTGCAACTAACATTGTCTATTCCTAGCTTTCATATTTAACTGAAGAAACAAGGTGCAAGGAGAAACGAAGTGTTGTCTCCACAGTTCTAAGTTTTAGATCGAAATATATTAGACTATAAACTTCATCAAGACTTCCGAGTTGTCAAAGGCAGTGATGGAATCATCATTGCCAGGAATACGTAATGCTATTATTCCTAAAAATTGGTGTTCTGAAATCTAGTTTTCTGGAATTATTAACATCTTTGTCAACGACAGGAGAAAACTACCTCCAGCATCAAAACTTCCCAGAAAGTACAGGGGATATGCACTTAGTGAAAGCATGAATGCAATGACTGAGGTTAGTTGGCTTTATTCACAGATCTACACCATGATGTTCTGCAAGAAGCACAATGAACACTGTTTCCAAAGTGGATATTGTTCAATCTCGTCAGCCTGACAGAATAAAACCACTGTCATCATGTAAAACATCTTGCAACTGGAATAAAGCAGAAGATCGGGATTATCAGAACTAATGGAAGATTTAAACACATGCACATATCTATAGAAACCACAACTGATACAATCAAACACAAGCAGGGACGAGAAGCCAGTGCTTCCCATGGTACAGAACTAGAAATACGAATCTAGCCAGGGAGATCAAATGTCAAGTCCCAGTTATTTCAGACTCCCTACCAATAGATGTGCCCAGCATACAAAGTCTCCAGTATATCAGCACCAATGATACTACTGTACCGGCAACAAAACATAATATCTAGGACCTCAGGGAAGCCCTTTAAGGAACAACAACAACAAAAAAGAAATCAGGTGAAAAACTGAACTCCCCCCATTATTCAGCTAACAGTTTTCATAAATACCAATGTCAGAAAATTGCTCCTGTGAAAAATTGAAAAGGAATTGATTCATCTTATACTTGATTCCTCAGTGAGGTTGTAATTCTGCATTTTGACATCAGTTATCTGTTACAATGCAACATTGTGGTGACTTTCCTTAGAGTAAATATACTTACGCACACAGAAAGACACTGTCCAAGTGCACTGGACAATGGCAAAAATCCAGAGCCACACCACAAACTAATGACCCCAAAAAAAAACCTCCAGGAGAATTTTAGCTAGCAGCGAAAACATTTTTAGGAGCAAATGATTCTGCTACAAATTAATCATAGCTGCTTTCCAAGCAATATTTAATGAGCCAAGCCAGAACATTTTACAGCTGTTGCTTTTGAACTCCACACAAACACTGATTCTTCTCTCATACCCTGCTCTTCACCTGCATCTTCTCCCTTTCCCCTCATTATTAAGCAGTGTCCATCAACACCACCTTTCTAAATAAGCGCATCAATACTCCCCCAAGGAGTCACTGATTCTTCAAAACCTAGCTCCTAAAAATACTGTCCTGTACTCAATGAATCATGTTTTATGAACACAGAATTTCCACTGGTTTACCATAAAAATTAAATTAAACAAAAAACACACCCTAGATGTACTTAAAGGAGTACAACAGTAATGCAGATGTAATTTTAAGTCGTTATGGTATAGATACATATTTCCATCTAATAAATAACAGTGATATAAGGCACAAAGTCATGTGAAGAACCAGGACCATCTTAGCTGACAGTAGTTCACTACCTGTTTAATGTCCTGCCCAGCCTTGACAAGTAGAAAAAACACTTGGAGGGATACAAAGAAAACCCAACGTGCACTAGGAAATGCAGGATGTATTGTGAAAGTGGACAGCCCAATACTTATTGTACTAGTTTGTCACATTATCTAAAAAAAAAAAAAAAATAATAAAAAAAAAAAATGTTTCCAGCCACAGTTGAAATAACACTCCAAACAAGACCACTGTTACTAATTATTTTTATGTTCTTAAACAGCTGGTTTTGCCATAGCCAATGTAATTATAGCAAGTAGCCATGATATATAGAACTTTAGTCCCCAAGGTTAGTAGTATGCAATACACATTACGCAGCTTGTGAAATACAGAAATACAACATTGAAACTTACAGTATTTAACAAAATCCTTCTGAAAATCTTTCCTAGAATTGATGAAGGCTTTTCCTCTTTCAGTTCCAACTACAAACACATCTGTTTCATATACAGCAATACAGACAACTTCTGCCTTGGACTTGGCAAGTTCTTTACACTAAAAAGAAAAACAAAAAGCTTTTATTACCACAGTTAAGAGTACAGTTAATAGAAATGTATGTGGTATCATGTAAAACAGTTATTACTTCTGCTGCCAGCATTCACCCTTCAGAAGGTACTGCGAGTAACATAACATCAGCCATTAGCAAAGGGTAATTTATACATCTGGAGTGCTTTTCATCAGGAATCTTAAAAACACTGTAGATGCATTAGTGAAATTAAGGCCTTGTCTAGACTTAAAAGATTGTCCTGTTTTTAATTAAAATGATTTATGACATCAATCCATGTGAAATTACCACTTCCTTGTTAGATAATAATATTGTGTGTCTTACTCCAACTCCAACTTTCAACAGAGCATAGAGGAGTTCTGTTCATTCACAGCACACTTATCACACATCATGTTCTGTTCAAAAAGGTGTGGTGGCAAGCAGAAAGGCTGCCTGCAGTCTGCCTTGTCCTGCCTGCTGTGCTCAGGCAAATTCCTCCTTCCCTGTGAACACCTACATGTGCTCTGCTGGGAGAAATTTCTGGCAAAGTAGTAAGGCAGGAAGCCTACAGCACAAGGAAACAGCAAACATCCTAAGAAAATCAGTGAGATCATCAAGAAGTGATCACAAAAAGTCAATTTCTCCTAGAAACTCAGATGATCAGAGTTTGCTGCAACCTATAAAGACACCAACAACTGCAGCATGACAGGAAAAAGTGACATACAGCCTTCAGGAACCAAATACATCCATTGGGAAAAAAGGCTTGCACTCAATTCTTTTATCACCATACCATTCAAAGTTTCATTGACAAAAAGAAAATTTTTGTTCTTGCTTATCATTTAGGAAAACAATTATAAAGAGCTAGATCTTTGACAGTGCCTCACCTTTAAGGAAATGGGACAGGCATTTCCACACACAGTCCTGGCCAACCTTAAACCCCACCACAAAATGATTAAATAACTGCTACAAAATAGGTGATATGCCAACTTAAGGAGAAAAAAAAAAAAAAAAAGGTATTTTCTGAACAACTTTTCTTGAATTGGTATAGCAGCTGAGGATAAGGCATTAGCCTCCAGGCTGTTCATTCACTCTATATTACAGATGACAAAGATCAAAATATATTCTTGCCTTTCAACCACACTTCACCTGAGCAATCAAGAAATATTTCACATTTGTTTCTTTGACAAAATATTTTCTAAAACCACCACACCACAACAAGAAACAAGATGACTGTTAGGAAGACTGTTAGCATGATTTTCCTCAAGCAAAGAGATGGAGTTACAGCTGGTTGGACAGCACGCAGTAAGGTAGATACCACATTACACCTTTCCTGCTCCCCAGCGGGAGGCAATATATAGGCATAAACCTGCACACACCAAGGCAGAGGATTGATGCAGCTGCTTAACTTCTCTACTTACCATTGACTCAAGTGCTGACATGAGGAATGTAACCACCATTCTGCTTTCAGAGGAGTCCTCACCATGGATGGATGTTGCTGGTGAGGTAGTTTGGGCCATCTTCCTCCTATAAAATGAAACTTAAAAACCTGTTCAGATATACACAGCAGTGCAAGAAAACTAAAACCTCTCTCACGCAAGTAAAGAAAAAAAAAATCAAAAACCCAGAACACACCCCTGTAGAACCAGCACACGCACAAGCAAGAAAATATACAGGTAAATTAACCGGAGCTCGCTCTTCTATTCTTTCATGCTTCCTGCTGTTTCATCCAAAGCTCAAGCTAAACACTCAAAAGTTAAAACGTTGTGCCATGACTAGACCACAAACCCTTTGAGCCTAGAAAGATGCATATTAATTCATTAGCAGAATTTACGTCAATTTTTCTTTTTAAGCATGTTTGCAACTCCAGCAGTCTAGATAAATACAGCAAAAAACCCCACTGGCATTAATGTACAGAAAAGAAAATGCAAATTATAGTTATGACACAATTATTAGAACAAACCTTCCTGTAATTATTATGGCCTAGCTCAAAACAAACCACTACCACCCTGCCCCAAAATCACGGCCTCAGAGACTACAGTAACCAGAATGTGACATTTTTATTCACATATTCTTCAGTTGTAGGATTAACTCCAAAGCCAAGCAGTCCCAATTAAGGTGCTAAAATTAAGAACTGAATTTCAGCAGTGACACAAGAAGGAGATTTAAACCTACTTCTGTATGTCATTCAGGAGACTTTCAACATAAGTAATAATCAGGACTTACGTTTTTTCTGGCAGAATTGTCTATACAAGAATGAATATATCGAGAATGAAGTTTCAGCAGCTGCTAAGAGCACATTTTCCTATTGGAGTGTTGCAACTTGTTATGTTTATACCTATCTAAAGCAATAACCTGACATGCCTGGAGGAGGAGAGAACTGGTAGAGGTTTAGCCGTTACAACTCCATGTGCAAGTCTTGAGAAAAATCACCACAAAAGTCAAGGTAGCTCAGATAAATGAGACATTTCATAACAGCTCGATGAGACAGCTTGCCACTCCTGTAGAACCTGGACACACGACATGGCTCAAGTTTTCAAAGGTGACGTGTATCTTATTAGATGTGCAGACAAGTCAGGGCAGCACAAATAACCATTGCATGTGATAATGCATGCTTACATTGGAAAAAATGGCAATGTGTTGTTCTTTTGACAGGACTTAGAACACTTCAGACTACAAATTGGAGAGGAGGGGAAAAGAAAAAAAAAGCTAGCAACACTGCAAGCTTGCAAGAGACATCCAGCAGCCTTCTGGCTCCACAGACACAGGCTGGCAAGGTTTAAACAGTTTTAAAACCGTGACATGGATTAACTGGCAGCGGCATAGTCAGCAGCTGCCTGAGGATGCAGGTAATGAGAGGTTTGAACACTGCTACCTGCTACACTGAGGAGTAGGCAAACAGGTCCTGCCTTAGGTCTGGAAAAGGAGCTAAACTTCAGAAGTCAATATAAAGGAAGAACAACTGTTGACTGATGTTGATTGCTTCAGTGACCTAAGAGAGGGTCAGCTGGGCATGGGGAGGCAGAGGCTGATGGGGTTATCCTCCAGAGGAAGAGGGGCATCTTACTTACTGCTTGTGGAATATCAGAGGGAAAAGGGAGATTATGTAATGTAAATAAATCTTCATTGAGCCGTGATTTTTGATACCTAATAGAGCTCTCAAGATCCTCTTAACTCCTTTAGTGTTGGCATGCTGACAATGATTTTAAGCATGATAGCTTTTAGACTTTTTAGAATTTTGGATCAGGAGTTGGATTAGGTTGTCACTGGACTACTTTTCTAATAACATTTGGAAGAGTCTTTACAAAGTATGAAGTCACAGTGCCTTGTATTTTTAGGATACCCATTCTTTAATCAGTATGCATGGTGGCAGATCAGTGTTTAATGTAGATTCAAGAGATACCCTGTTGCACCATGGCAGCATGAGAATATTTTTTCATGCTGACTTTACAGCAAATCTCATGCGACTTTCCCTCCCAACCCGCCCCCCCCCATCCATTTTGCCAGTTTCTCTCCTTCACACAACAGTTTTCTCCACTATCCTTATCTATACCACTGAGACAGTGTTTATTATTAGAAAGAATAGACTATGGTTCAGTAGATCTAATGAACCTGGCTGCCTTTCCAAGATCCAGCCCTTAGAAAGTATGTGACAACACCATTGCCCAACGTAAATCCCCAGTGCAAAGCCTTGAAAAAAGTCTAAAACCTTACCGCTTACCACTGTGCTACACAAGAAATCTCATTTAAGAACCGTTCTTTGAAAAATTATAAACTGTCCAACAGAGTAACACTTATGAGATATCTATTAATCTTAATCACATATTGTTAAAAAGAACTTCCAGATCAGTTAATATTAGGTATAATTACCTATAAATCCTTCAGTTTAACTGTGCCAAGATGAGTCTTTGCCCAAGTAAAGGCTTGTAACAATGAACAAAGCATTGCAAAATATACTGGTAGAGTACCAAGGCTGTAGCATTTAGCCATTCTTGCCTGTGGTTCAACCCCAGCCAGCAACTCAGCCTCACACAGCCGCTCACTCACGCCCCTGGCCCAGGCAGGATGGGGGAGAGAATCGGAAAGGTGAAAGTGAAAAAACTCGTGGGCTGAGATAAAGGCAGTGGAGTAGGTAAAGCAAAAGCCGTGCCCACAAGCAAAGCCCACCAAGGAATTCACCCCCCCTTCCCCTGGGCAGGCAGGCTCAGCCATCCCCAGCCCAGCCGGGCTCCAGCACGCGTAACGGGGACTTGGGCAGACAAACGCCGTCACTCCGAGCGTCCCCCCCTTCCTCCTCCTTCCCCCAGCTCTGTACGGTCTGGGATGGCCCTGGGGTCAGCTGGGGTCAGCTGTCCCGGCTGTGCCCCCCCCAGCTCCTTGTGCCCCCCCGGCTCCTCGCTGGTGGGGTGGGGTGAGAGGCAGAAAAGGCCTTGGCTCTGGGTGAGCGCTGCTCAGCGATCACGGGAACAGCCCTGTGTTACCAACTCTGTTTGCAGCACAGATCCAAACCAGAGCCCCGGAGTAGCTACTGTGGAGAAAATTAACCCTATCCCAGCCAAAACAAGCACGCTTCCTGACGAGAAGGTCACCATGATACAGAGCTAAAAAACCCTCTGGGTTTTCCTTTTACAAGGAGAAAACCAAAGACCGAAACCAGTAGCTTTTCAGGAAGCCAAATCAAATTAACGTGTATCTCACGCCACATGTGTCTTGCTGGCTTCTACTTTTATGGCCCAAAAAATATAAATACTCAAGGCAAGAGAGAACAAAACCACAAGACAGTTACTTTCCATCTTCCCTGGCAGGCACGCCAATCTTGATAAACCCACTAGTAACGGATACTCTCTCTAGCAGTTGCTTGTCAGACACACAAAAAACAAAAGCAAAAAAGTTATTATAATTATTAAAAAACCTATTACTGAATCATACAAAGAATACATATGGAAAATTAGGGGGAAAAAAGAAAAAAAAAAAAAGGAATATGCATTTCTTAGAGCGGTCTTAATAAGCAATAGCAAAACATTTTTACCCTTCACCAAATGTAATGCGAGCAGGTGTTCCTGAAATGGTTTTTCTATCCATTGTCTGCTACTCTCCAGAAAAGCAGCTGTGGATGCCAAAGCAAACTTGTGCTTGGTTTGTGTGAGCAGTGGGGTTTTTGTTAGTAGAGGAGGGGGCTACACCAGTGGCCCCTGTGAGAAGCTTCTCAAAGCTCCCTCAGCTCCTGGTTGGAGAACTTAAGAAGGGGAACCTGGGAGGAAGAGCTGGAGTTGTGAGGGAGACACCTCTGCAAACACCAAGGTCAGTGGAAAACAGAAGAAGCAGGGGGTAGGTGCACCAGAGCAGGGCCACCCCCCTGTAAGGAACTGAAGAGTTAATGCCCCAAACATTCCTCAACACAGAAAGCCTCAAGGACAAGTTGTGGCCCCTGTGATTAGTCTAAGGAATGCTGCTCAAAGAAGCCCATAGTGTATTGAAGGATGCAGGGCTTCCTTTCCTTGCAGCTGTATAGACAAATTCCTTAGATAAGCCTCAAAGGAAGTTCCGCTAAGAGGCTGATAAGAGAGATAAAAACTGGGTACCAGATCTGCCTCTTTGTGTAGTATGCAAATTAGATGATACCAAGAACTTAAAAGGTGACAGAAAGCTTTGCTGTGTGTACACCCACCACCCAAAACTACAGGACCTGAGACAAGCTGCAACCAGAGGTGGCGATTCGACTCTTCCTCTCCTTTTTCTTTTTTTTCTCCTATAGATTTATAAGAGACCACATTCATTACTATCCTTTTCCAAGTTTAAATTGTTTCTACTGCAAGTAAAACATTTTAACCAGTTGTTAAAGAAGGCTGGGACTTTGAGGGAAGAAGCAGCCCCCACTGTTGCAGCTTGGTGCTGGGAGGGACTCATGTTGAAGAGAGTTCATGGAGGACTGTGAGAGGGGAATTATGCTGGAGCAGGGAAAGAATGTGAGGAGAGCTCTCCCCTACCCCTAAGAGGAAGAAGCAGCAGCACTGACCACACCTCCCATTCCCTGCCCCCTGAGCTGCTGGGTGGGAGGAAGTAGAAAAATCAGGAGCAAAGCTGAGCTGGGGAGGAAGGGAGGGGTGGGTGGAAGGTGTTTTTAAGATATGGTAATGGTTCTCACTGTCCTACTCCTCCTGTTAAGTGGTAGTATTGTTAGCATCTGAATTAAATTTATGTTCCTTTTCTCTTCCCCTAAGGAGTCAGTCTTTTTACCCGAGTCTGTCTTTTGCCCCTGACAATAATGGGTGAGTCATCTCTCCCTGTCCTTATCTCGATTCTGGAGCCTTTTATTTTCTCCTTCCCAGAGATGGGCGGGGAAGGGAGGAGTGAGCAGCTCTGTGGTGCTTAGTTGCCCTCTGAGCTCAAACTATGGTAATACTTTTCTCCACTAACCCCTCATCTAGCATTACAAACACTAAAACAAATCTTGCCACACTGATGGAAAAGAAGGTAACTCCCAAGAACCCCAAAATACAGCTGGATAGGAGTTTGTGTGAGCTCACCCTTACACAACACTGAAGATTTGCTGCTCCCTAGGAGAAAGAAGTCCAGCTACTGCTCGATACCCATGGGCCACTTTTGATATCTGGGGAAAAAAAGTTATTCCAGCAAAGTACAAAAGCACACATTTCATTACAAAGCTGGGACAATTAGGAATGCAAAAAATATACCACAAAAAGAAAAAAATCTAATGAAGCTAGACTGCTTCTTGGCTATTGCAGCTTTCACCCCTTGGTTTCTTTGCCTTTTGGGCAAAGTCAATTTCAGCATATTTAACTCTGCCCAAATGCTGGCCTTCTGACAAAGGACAGAAGTTGGTTCTTTCCAAACTGTACAGATCAATACTCACAAGCTGTTAAATGCAAATGAATCTTTTAAAACAAATTTTGGCTAAGAATCTGTGTTATTTTTCCTACAATTTGGTTCAGTGATCCTGTGTTTCACAGGAAGTTAAGTCTGACGGTCCTTAGCTAAGCTATCATAGAAACTCTGTCGGGATGCAAACCTACCACCACCATCTTTTCTGATTTTCTGTAACACATCTACCCTAGCCTCAGTGCACACAGGATTAGGAGATTCTCACCTTTACCCTCCAGCGTCTGTTCATAGCTGACATACACACTCCTGAAAGGATGATCTATTTTCATTTATATGACATGTCATTGATCATCTTACAATAATACAAATACTCTATAAGTGACAATTTTCAGCTCCTTCCAACCACTAGGACTGCTCACACATAGCGGAAAGCCAGCAAGGGTGCTCAGACTGTGTGACATCCCTACCTTCAGATACATACAACTGTTTTTTGAAATTAAATATTTTCACCAGCCATAGCCCAAGAGAAACAGAAGCAAAGGATCTGGGAGTTACTTCACAAAAACACTGCCAGTTCTTCACCTCTGCATCTGGTGCATGTAGATGATGAATCGATTTGGATGAGCAACATCCATGTTACCTCTGTGGAGGACCAGCCTTTTCTGAAACAAACACACTGCTGCACCACACCAACCAAAAGCAGCTCCAGATGTTCAGAGCCAGTTCGATCCAAGGCAAAGAGGCAGAGGCAAGTCTGGCAGGTTTAACTCTGCTTACAGCCTATACCAAAAACAAGAGGGTGAAGTTTCCCCACATCAGAAACAGGAAGGAGAAACAATATGGAGATACCAGAGGGCATTTAGTCAAGTCAAACCCATCTGGGTTTATCTCTTCTGCCTTACTGTCAGCTCTTCCAGGCAGAAGTTGGCTCCCCTGGGAAGTACAAACCTGGAATCATTGGCTAAAGAGCAATATCACGTACATACGACTGGTTTAGCTTTTAGCTAAAACTGAACCCAGGCTATTAACCCCCTCTAAAAATGAACTGAAATAACTCTCAAGGACAGCAGAGCACCCCTGAAGAAACCTTAACATACCACAGAGGCTTTGCCCCTCTCTGCTCCACACATGCTCCCTGAAGTATCTCTGTTGCCTTTTTTTCCAGCCTCTTATCTGGAGCAGCAGAGTGGCTGATTCCAGAAAAGTGCACATCACTATTAAAGTCAACTTTCTTGCTCCTTTGCTCACTAAAAATTAAGCATGTTTACTTCCCTAACCTTAAGATAAATTGCTTTCTAGTCCGAGACACCAGGAATACAGACATGGCACACACCGGTTTCACCCAAGGAGCAGGTTCCCTGGTAAGCATGCTCTTACAATTCACATCTGACACCATTACAAGCACAGCAACAGTGACTCATTAAACACGGCAACTGGGACATTCTCTGTCACCATTTCAATCCAACTCCCACCACAGGGACTTAACTCCCAGCAGCAGAATCAACAAGACGCAGCACCAAGTGTTTCACATTAGGGCTCACCCCAACAACACACACCAGCAACGCTACTTATGGCACCCCATGCCACCCTAATTAATGAAACGATTCACAGAATCACACCACTCAGAACTACTACCTTGCTGTAAACCAACACACTGCCCCAAATCCCTACTGTAGTGCTCACTGATTTAAGCTTTCATTTTTTTTCTCCGAGGGCATCCAAGCAGAAGGTCAACAACCAAAGGCAGTCGGGAAAGAGAACAAGGGCCCCTAACAAACAAAGCTCTGAGGGGAAACACCTGGCGCTCAGCACACCCGATACCACCAAGACAGCACAAAGTCACACAAAACCAGCAGTATTTTGCTGGGGATGGGGAGGCGTGGTTCATAAAACAGCTGTGAGACCCCTCTTAAAACGACTAATAATTAATTCCCATTTTTCTAGGTACTTTTATGATACTCGGCACCATATGATGACTTTTTAGCTTCTGCTACTCTTAAGAACCATTAACAAAGTAAAACACGATTCCAGCAACTGTTATTTTAAAAGCACCTCCAATTTTTCTCATTCATAAATCTGCATAATGTTTGCAAAGAGATATTTAAATTTGATTTTCACTACTTCTAAAGATACCAATATAGACCAACATATAATCACAAAATTCTAGATAAAATGAAAATACAGTATCTAACTATATACCTCACAAGGCAACTAGATGAAAGTGAACATATTATCCAGTTTGGAGTAGTTAAGAAACTGTTAGTATAAAACTCCATTTCTGCATTTAAGCCAAACAGACTTGGCGAACAATTCACTTAGTTTTTTAGTTTTTAAGTATGTGGTTTCCTACTGCAGCACCTAGGCATTCGTGAATTACAGGGAAACCATATAAACAAAATGAAGTATTGATCACAGCAGTCCTGACCATCTGATAATTTCTGCCTTTACCAGTGTAATTGTATTTACTTACTCAACATGATGATCATGTTGAGTAACAATTACTTTAGTTCTGTGTGTCCATCAACACTTACACATAATATTTGAGAAGTCCAAACTCTATTGGTACTTATTTAATTATAATAAAATTGGTGCTGTCACATTTTCCAGAGAGTGGAATTGTCCCCGCTCGTGCAAGCTGGTCCTTTGGATTTCTGCAATGATCACGGGAAACAAAAGGCTCGAATTTATTTAAGGGCAAACAAAACCCCTTTAATTCCTCTGGGCTTCTCACAAAAAACTAAGCATCCATTCATTTTCTAACACCTTGGAAAAAGAAAAACAAACCATCCAATCAGTACATGGGCAGCCTCTGAAGGGCACACCTCCCCTCCACAGCTTCATGCAGGGACGTGCCCACCCTGGTGGGTGCTGCTGCCCACCACTGCACACATCAGGGTGCCCTGGAGACCTGTGAAACTAAACACCCCTCACTCTCTAGCAGTAATCAGTCCCCTTGGTTTCGTCACTTAATTCCCTCTGCAACTCTCTCCCTTGTTCCTATTATTGTATTTAACCAAATGAACCAGAACACCAATTTCCATGGAATCAATTCTACGTGTTCTTCCTTGAATTAAAGCATTTATGTCAATCCTGCTAGAAGCCTCTCAGTTTGGGACTGTGTCCGTAACTTTTTGTCAGAAAATTACAAATTCAGTCTTTCCAGCGGAACTCAACCAAACACCTATGAAAAGGTTCTCACGTCCGGATGGATAAGACAAGGGGCTGCCAGTAGCCTCTTACCAGGCCGTATACAAACTTCTATGGCATCTAATTTACCTAATGGATTTACAAACCTTTTTGTTTGTTTGTTGGTTTGTTTTAAATATGTTGTATAGGGTTTTGTTATTTTAATTGCAGAGTTAAAGTTACACAAGCAGAAACAAATATTAGGTATATTAAAAGCATAGTCTAAAAGTTGCTGCTTATTGTGTGACATTAATACAAAGATTTGTATGTACTGACAACTCAGCTACAAAATTAGCTTACAAGGGAATGGGTGCACTCATTAGTCAGTCACCATGCGGATGTTTCTCTTGAGCAACACACGCACCAAATCTTTGGCAAAAGAAGCCTGCAAATAAAGAACTAGAAACACAACAGGCAATACTGAAAACACTGTGATGATTAAAAATATGGTCATGAATTGCACTGGGTTTGTGTGGCAAGGATTTTGTAGCAGGGGGCTTCTGTGAGAAGCTGCTGGGAGCTTCCCCCATGTCTGACAGAGCCAATGCCAGCTGGCTCCTAGATGGATCCACTGCTGGCCAAGGCCGAGCCCATCAGCAATGGTGGTAGCACCTCCGGGATAACATGTTTCAGAGGGGAAAAAAAAAAACAGTAAAACAGCAGTGTCAGCCAAAGAAGAGGAGTGAGAATATGTGAGAGGAACAACTCTGCAGCCACCAAGGTCATTGAAGAAGGAGGGGGAGGAGGTGCTCCAGGTGCCGGAGCAGAGATTCCGCTGCAGCCCGTGGTGAAGACCATGGTGAGGCAGGCTGTGCCCTGCAGCCCAGGGGGGAGCAGATACTCACCTGCAGCCTGGGGAGGACCCCACGCTGGAGCAGGGGGATGCCCGAAGGAGGCTGTGACGTCGTGGGAAGCCTGTGCTGGTGCAGGCTCCTGGCAGGACCTGTGGCCCAGTGGAGAGAGGAGCTCACGCTGGAGCAGGTTTGCTGGCGGGACTTGTGACCCCGCAGAGTCCCACGCTGGAGCAGCCTGTTCCTGAGGGACTGCACGCCACGGGAGGGACCCACGCCGGAGCAGTTCGTGAAGAACTGTAGCCTGTGGGAAAGGTTCAGTGTTGGAGAAGTTTGTGGAAGACTGTCTCCCGTGGGAGGGACCCCACGCTGGAACACCGGAAGAGTGGGAGGAGTCCTCTCCCTGGGGAGGAAACAATGGGCGATGAACTGACTGCACCTCCCACTCCTCATCCCCCTGTGCTGCTGGGGGAGGAGGAGGTAGAGAAATCAAGAGTAAAGTTAAGCACAGGAAAAGGGAGGGGTGGGGGAAAAGCGTTTTTAAGATTTGCTTTTATTTCTCGTTATCCTTTTCTAATTTGCTTGGTAATAAATCAAACTACTTTCCCCAAGTAGAGTCTGTTTTGCCCGTGACGATCTCTCCCTGTCCTTATCTTGATCCATGAGCCTTTTGTTATATTTTCTCTCCCCTGTCCAGATGAGGAGGGGAATGAGCCTTTTGTTATATTTTCTCTCCCCTGTCCAGCTGAGGAGGGGAATGACAGAGCAGCTCCGGTGGGCACATGGCACCCAGCCAGGGTCAGCCCACAACGTGAATCCAGGAGAGGCACGTAAGGCTGCGCACCCAGACAGGCGTACGATTTTACATCAACCTCCCTTAAAATTCAGACGGACAGACTTCCATAACAACTTGCTGCTGCACACCAACCCACCTCCCCTTCCCTGAGCCCCTGCCTCCAGCGCACACCGGGGTCTCTCCGCAGAGCCCTCCCGCGCCATCTGCTCCCCCTGAGAGCTGACTGGAGTGCAATGTGCCACCCGCGGGGTGAAACTGAAGTGCCAGACTGAATTCACAGTTAAGTCGCCTGGTATGTAGAAGGGAAAAAAAAAAAAAAAAAAAAAAAAAAACCAACAACAACAACAAAAAAACAATTCTAAATTTAAAAAAACTCGGGAAATCATCCTGCTTTCTGTACATAACTGCATATACTGCTCACCTGAGCTTCCTGTGCACTCCCCCCCCCCCGGCGCTGGCCTACACCGGTCCGTACGGTCCCGGGGCGGGAGCGATGCCGGCTCCGCCATGGCAGAAGGCGCCACCCCCCCTTCTACCACCCCGGGCAGGCTCCGGCCCAGCACCGGGCATCCCCCCCCCCCCCCCCCCGGCGTATGTTCCTTTGCATACCCCGCCCCGCCCCTTCCTGCCCGCGTCCAATCGCCGCCGTCAGGCGCGCGGCTCCGGCACGTGCGCACCGCCCCGCTAGCCAATGGGAGGCAACAGCCCGGTGGCAGCGCCCATTCCCCCGAGCGGCCGGGGTCCGGGGGTGGTGAAGGGCGCGGAGCCCCGCCCTCCCCCCCCCCCACCAAACCCCACGGGGCTGAGGAGCGGGCGCCCCCCCCTCCCCCCCCCCCCAATCCCACCCTCCCGCGTGTCGTTCCCCGGCCCCCCGCACCCCCCGAGCGGCGGCAGGAGCTGCCCCCGGGCCGCGGGGGGGTGCGTTCCCCCAACATCCCCTCACCCCCACCGCGCTGCGGTCTGAGGGAGGGGGAAATCCTCCCCTCAGCGACCCGCGGGGTTACGGCGCCGTCCCCCGCCCCGCACCGGCGAGGCCCGATCCCCCGTTCCCACTCACCCGCCGCCGGCAGCCCCGATCCTGTTGGCTGGAGGCGAGGAGGCGCCGCGGGGCTGCGGGAGAAGCGCCGGCCGCGACAGAGCCGCTGGCGAGAGGCGGCGGCCCCGTCCGTCCCCTCACGGTGTCGGGCTGAGCGCAGCGCCGCGCCGGGGGAGGGGGCAGGGTGCCGTGGGGTGCTGTGTGTTGAGTTTTTTTTTTCTTTTTTTTTTTTTTCTTTTTTTTTTGTCCGAGGAGCCCCGGTCGCGCAGGCGCGCCCCTCGCGGGGGCCGACGGGAATTGTAGTCCAGCGGCGGGGAGCCGAGCCGGGGCGGGGGCGGGCGGTGGACTGCAGCTCCCGCCGTGCCCCGCGCGGGGAGGGGCGGTCGCGGCCCTGCGCCGAGCGGCGGAGCCAGGCCGGAGCGGTGCCGAGCGGCCTGGGGCGGGAGATGGCGGCCCCGGCCCGCCCCGCTCCCCTCAGCTCCCTGCGGCCCCCGCTGCCGCAGGCCCTGCCATGCTTGTGGGGCGAGTAGCCCCGCCGCCTGCCTTGCCTTCCCGCAAAAATCAGCTGCAGCTCTCCACAAACATCACTGCAGGCAGCGTCCTGCCAACAGAAAGCCTGCCTTGGGTTTAATAACCTCACAGAAAATTAATTGCCTTGTTGCTGCAAGTTAGGTTTAATAACCTACGACTAACCTTTCACAAAGGTGCTCGGCATCACAGATGCCATGTGTGAGATCTGTGTTCCTGGGTGTAGCCAGGCAAATGCTTTAGCTGGCATCACTGTTCTTTCCTTTTGAATTTAGGTTCATTGTGGTAAGTGCGGGCAGAAAGTTTTCCATTTAAAGAGAAATACTGCATTTCAAAATTAGTTGCAAATAAAAAAACTCCTGCTGTTAAAAATAGCTAGTTTGAAAATCAAGCTATAAACAAATTGTTGATATTTACGATAATTACAGTGTTTATAGGACTGTTACAATTTGCATGAAACTTAATAGTACTTTTGAAACCATAACTTTAGATTTTGTCCAGAGTAACCACCAAAACCACGACTGCAAGTAAATCTCATTTGTAAAGGAGACAGAAGCATACATAGTTGAATGCATTCAGCTACCTCCTAGTTGCAATAAATAGCGAAAAATCAAACTGGGGAATAAAACACAGAAGCTGCCTGCTGGGAAAGGACCCTGCGGGAGGCACTTTGGCCGTTCCCATACCATCGCTGGGGAGCCTATAGATGCTGTGCAAAGCACACCCATCTGCGAGGGCTGGCCAGCATCCCCTGAGCAAACGGTCCGAGTGATTCAAGATGTGGCTCTCAGTGGTTCCTTGCCAGTGTCCAGCTGGTCGTAACTGTTCTCATCCTTTACATTGTGGGAAAGGAAACAGAACCATTCTGCAGTGGCCTAGCAAAAAACCAAACACACAAAACAAACCCCCAAAAAAAACAACCAACCCAAAACAAACCAAAAAAACCTACCAAAACAAAAAACCCCAAAGACAAAAAAAGCCACCAGCCAATTTCATCAGCTTAACATAAACCAAAAGATTTCGCCCTGCAGCACCTGGGTGGCTCCTGCTTGCAGATCCTGTGCAGGGAAAGGCATAACCTCTGGTGAAGGGCTTGAGCACGAGGGACACCAAATCTTTCTAAGCAGTCACAAATATTTTCTAAATTGATGCCAGCTCTCTTTTCTGTTTAGATTACATTTTTAGTGGAAGGCAACACTCCACGATGACTGCATGCTGTCATCTTCCAGCTGTACTCTGCTGCACACAGCCCATACTGGCCACATCACACAGATTTAGATGTCCTAACTACACCCTGT